GAGGAACTCGAGATAGAAGATTTTTGGTCACCCATCCAATGACCGACCACTGCGAAAGTTGCTTAACTTCAACTATCGCAGCCGAACGCGCTAACCACCTGCGCCATCGAGCTCCTCAAATATTTGTATCTGACTCTAATTCAAAGTGATAAACAATGATAACTTGACAGCACAACTTTCATATATATCTATGGTATTTATTATTACGAATAAACTCAGAAAATAAGAAGAATCTTATTATTACAGCACCAATATATTATTTGTGTGATGTGAACTGTATTTCTGTAAACTATATTGTCGTAACCAACTTAATAACTATTCTGAAATATCGAATATAACTCTTAAGGGTTAAACCAATCTAAAGTTCAAAGCACCTTTATAATGAAGACTTCATAGTTAGTTTACAATGAGAAATAGGTTTATTTCTCATTCTCATCCATATCTATACATATAAAACTCAAAATTGACTGACTGACATAGTGATCTATCAACGCACAGCCCAAACCACTGGACGGATCGGGCTGAAATTTGGCATGCAGGTAGATGTTATGACGTAGGCATCCACTAAGAAAGGATTTTGATCAATTCTACCCCCAAGGGGAGAAAATAGGGAATGAAAGTTTGTATGAAACTTTGTCAGTTTTAAACCGATCGGGCTGAGACTTTGCATGCAGGTAAAAGAAGAATCATAGATGAATTTCATTGTGTATAATACAAGCCTGAGAACAAAAACTGTAGTCTACACTTCAGCTCTACACCGAAGCGAAGCGAGGGCGGGCCGCTAGTTTTAATATAAATATATTGGTACTACATACTGACTAAATTAAATATTGGTTTGGTGAGTCCATATACGAGATGAAGGCTTCTCCCATTCGATAAAAATAAACTATTAATCACTACACGGTCTTACAAGGGCAATAGTCCTGCTTCTGCTCCGAGAGTCCTGCGTTCGAGTCCTAGGTGTGGATATATATTTGCGAGAAGAACAGAAATGTTGGTACCTTAGATTAAAACAAAAAGGGTAGATACGGCACTAGCCTCACAAAAGTGATCCGCATGAATTGTGGTCCACGACCCTAATCGCTTTAGTCACAACTTGACATGCAAACGACGTACATGTGAACGCCAAAAAGAAATATTGCTAATATTTTGTGTTTATATGATAAAACAATGCCTAAGTGTATTTTTTTTAAAAGTGCTCAAATTACTCAAGAACTAAAAATAAAACCCACGGCATCACTTTTCATTCGTAAGTACTATTAAATATATTTTTTCACAAAAATTGCTGTTTGTTTTGAATCTTATTCGGTAGTGACGTCGAGTACTGGTCGCGCGATTGGTCGGTAGTGCAATGACGCGGATCCCGCCGTCTCGTTCGCGCTGCCGTCGAAACTTAACGTGCTGTTTCGTTCGGGTCGGTATTGCAGTGACGCGGATCTCGCCGTCCCATTTGCGCTGCCGTGGGATCAGTTTTTGTTTGATGCAAGTATGAGCGTATCGTATCTACCCTTTTTGTTTTAATCTAAGGTTGGTAACCCATTATTGTTGTTTATATTTATGAATAAAATCCGGTTATAGTATCCATGGTTCAGGAGAAGGTGCAGTTTTGGTTCGAACTGAAGGACCGATTTGCGTTGTACTGTACATAGTGATACTAAAGTTTTCCAAATAAATTGGAAAAAAAAAATACAAATGTACCCCTAGTAAATTTGAATAAGTGTACGTATGTTGTGTGGTGCACACCACATTCGTGCAGTTCCATGAAATTGGAGGAATTGGACTTGCATTAAATGTAAGTAAGGTACTGATAATAAAATAATCAAATGCCACTTTCCTTCATTCCATATTCCATAGGTATGTAGATAAATGAAAGTTTAAAAAAGATCTTAATAAAATAATGTACTATGTATATTCCGCGCGCGACCATTACCTAAATATTTTTAATTTGGGGATATCTACTAAGTTTATAGCTTAAATTAAGATAAAGATGCTAAATCTAATGCCAAAATCATCGGAATTTTATAAGAAGCAACACTGAAAAAAACTTTTAATCGTATTTCTAAAGAGTAAACTAAACTTTTTTCTAGATAATTTTATGATCAAATTTTTTTATCCAAAGTAATTTTACGATAAAACCGCTTACCTACTTACTAAATACCGCTTTGATGAAAATAGCGATAAACCCTTTTTTTTACCTTTGACCTCGAGTATTTTTTTCCATATACAGGAACGTTGGGGAATTTTGTAATGTTATTTTTAATTATGTTTTGAACAATTGTACTCACTTTCAGCTTGATGTGAATGTATGTACCTTTCAATGTCTAAATTGACCGGACTATACATATGAGGAGGTGGCGAATAAATCAGTATATTACATAAAATTAAATTTTACAGGAGCTGTATAAAACTGGATGACATTCATACAGTGAGCCATTAAAAACCATGACAAAATCATGGTTTTTAATTTATTTTAGTAATTCTAACACTGTTTTAGGTGGTTTAGATTGAAAATTATTTGAGATTCAAATTCAACGGGCCCGAAACCTCCGTACTGTAAAAAAAAATGTTTGACCAGATGCGGGCAGGTAAAATAAGTACTCTTTAAGCCGTAGAATTACTTCTCTTTTTTTCGGTGTTTGCTCAATTTGAAACTTTGACATTAAATTGACAAACGCTAAATGAAAAGTAATAAAATTCTTTAAAATCAGAGCACATCTTTTAACTATTGACACATATTACAACTACAGAAAATAAACAAGCTTCTTTATATTTCATCATCATCATCATCATCAGCCTATTAATGTCCCCACTGCTGGGGTACAGGACTTCCCTATGGATGGAATAGGGAGATTGGGCCATGAACCACCACGCGGGCCCAGTGCGGATTGGTGGGTGCTAACGACTGCAGATGCAGCCGGGATCAACGGCTTAACGTGCCTTCCGAAGCACGGAGGAACTCGAGTTGGAAGATTTTTTGTCACCCATCCAAGGACCGACCACTGTGAAAGTAGCTTAACTTCAACGATCGCAGCCGAACGCGCTAACCACCTGCGCTATCGAGCTCCTCGTTTACATTTATTTATATGTTTTTAAGTGTTTCCTAGATCATGAAAAGAAATCTCCCACGAAAATCACACTTACCTAAGTTATAAAACTACTAGTGAAAAGAACTCTCCCACGCAAATCAGAGTGACCTTAGTTAGTTGGTCAGTTTTAACAGGAAATAATAAGTATTAAAAATATTCTTTAAGTTTTTTTTAAGTATTAGATTTCACAGCTATAGGCCGATAAAAAAAATCATTTAACAATATCGATTTGAAATAAAAAATATTTTATCAAAAACAGTCCACTAAACTCTAGGCTTATATAAAAAGTATTGAGTGATCCAAAATATGTTCTTACATTTTATTTTATTAGTCTATTTATAATAACGTGGAAATAAATAATCAGTGTAACCTAAGAAGTTAGATCACCATTAAAATGCGTACTGTAAACAAAACTTAATTATGGAAGCTCTAACAATTCTACTTTAACATCGCTTTACTTAAAACAAGTGAGTATCTATTTATTTAGAATATAAATAGATTTTAACAGAAATTCTATTTTAAAATTATAGTTGTATTCTAATCACGGATTTCTTAAAGTTAACGGATATAAGCGTCGAAAATTACGCTACTTTTAAATTAATAGTTTATTCCCCAGCTTTTTTTACAATAATAATAAAGAAAAGAAACAAATAGCAAGTTATATATTATATAATATACTTATATGTTGGTCCAGTACGACTGTAATCTAGCTCGTGTAATAAATTTTATGTAAATCCCTTCACCGGTTCGAAATAGAGTTACAATACATAAAATAGAATGAATAACACAAAGTTTGGTATTAGTCGGATGATAAAAGAAGCAGTTCTTTCAAACTTTTATATTTTTACAAGTAGGTACGTTTAAAATTTAGCTTTTTATTTTACTAAATTATATATATCCTTATGTATGTATGTAAGAGATATCCTGTAACTTTAAAATTAATGCTTACATTGTTTATTTTTTATTACAGAGAAAAATACCTACATATATACAGGTCACTCCTGTTCACCTGCTTAAAGACATTATTAACCGTCAAATTTAAGTCGAAATAATACAATTTTGATTTAGGAATTACCATAAAATTTATTATTATAACTTCAAAACGAGAGCACAGTTCGGAATTGTCTCGTAGCCATGTAGGCCTATAGCCGTAGCGGTAACCGTCGTATTAAAAGATATCAACGCTCAGCAACGTAGTCTTTTAATGTAATGATTTATTTCATTATTTTCCAATTAACTCGTTCTCTAAAATATCGTACCTATTATTATTAAAAAAATCATGTCTGCTCATATATTGCATGTTGTAGTCGCCTTAAATTGAATGTACACTGTTGCTTGTTTGTGTAATTGTGTTTGATGTTTACTATTCTATGTATCATTCACTGGTGATCCTTAATAAATAATAAAATAAATAATTTTAGTGAACATTGTTTTATTGTATTTAATTTATAAACTCTTGTTAGATTTATTTGAAACCAATATAACTAAATAATATGTTATTACTTTATATCATAAAACTTCGCAATGACTTATTCCGCTGCTAATTAATGTTTTTATATGTTTTTTTTAACTTACTATTGCTTGTATTTACATTGTCAGTATTATTTAAGTTTGATATTAATAAACCACTGAGTACTTTTTCCACTTGCAGCACAGATTTCTAATTAGTTTTTTGCATGTTTTTATTTAGTATAAAACTTTACTCTTATGTACCTACATGATGATCGGATAAAGGTTTAATATAAAAATATTGAAATACAAATTGAGTCATATTTATTTACATAACTGAATATCAAAAAAAGGTTTTAACGGAAGTTACACTTGAAACTTATATTTACTACATGCCGGCACTTACGTAAAATTGTAAAGAACTCAAAACTTTTGGTGAGGAAAATTTTGAAAATTTCATCTCACCCAGTGCATCGCCGCCCTCTCCTCGTACACTCCCATCTGGGGATCAATTTTTATGTTTTCAAATAGCGAACGATTGGGCCGACGCCCCACTACACTCGGCACTCACTCGCGCATCACACGTTCGCACCGGACCGCAGCCGGTGGGCAACTGGCGATTTCCTGTGCGGTCGGAGGAGGGCCGGCACCGCCTCCTGACGCCCCTCCCCACCAACACCAAATTACAGTTTACCACAACGTTTTTTGGGCGCGTAATAATTTCATCGCGACTCGCGACCGGCCGACGGTTTGAGAATCGATGACATCTCGACGTATGGACGTGCTGCGTTCTGTTTTTGTACCTTTTCAGAGTTTTGGATGTTTGTTTACGCAATGTGTAATATCTTGTAGTAGTGAAAAAAAAATTTTTTTTATTGATATAAGTAAAATTTTAATACATAGGTATTTTTAATTTATATTATAATTTTGGACAGGTTCATAAAATATTAAAAAAGCAAAGTTAATGGTTCTTGAAGTCTAGACTTAGGCAGGATGTGTTCATCACTATTAGGCCACTTTTAATTAGAGATGTGCCGAATATTCGTATACCGATGCCGAATGTTCGTATTCGTGCTTCGGCCTTATAATTATTTGATTTGCATTTTGGGAATAATTACCTATGTAATATTAAAATACAATAAAAATAATATAAAAAAAGAAGATACTACTGTCCACGACTTTTTCTGTGTAGAATATTTGATTCCTCCTCATAAATTTTCATCCCCTAACCCACGCTTTTTAAATTTATTTTTCGCGAAACAAATTAGAATAAATTTGGCTTCCTGCAAAGTCTCTCTTTATCTCATTACTAACAAAAATTCATCAAAATATATTCAACAGAAAAGACGTAAAAACATAACAGTAATACAGAGATCGTTTCGTATTTAAAAAGGTAATACACATACAAAAGACATTCAAATGTCAGAATTTTAATAAAATGTTTTTTTTTTAGTGGATCTACCTGCATTACTTATGTCTTACAAGTAGTAACAGTAGTTACAATAAAACCTGTGATTTACAAATAAAATAACCTTAATAAACAAAGATCTCAAAATATTTTATTATACATTATTATTCTTTTAGACAAGAAAACCAACAAATATGTAGTAAATTATAATATAGAAGATATCAGTAGAGTTTATACGTTGGTTAAGTATTCGGTTCGGCACATTTCGGACTGAATGTTTGACGGAATAATGAACATAATTTTTCGGTCTAACCCTGCGCATCTCTCTCTACACGTAATTAGTCTGATACGGTCTGTTAGACACAGCATCTCTCGACTTTTTTTTTCATAATTTATTACGAGGCACCTGTCGACGCTTTGAAAGAAATAAATGCTATTGTTTTTATCGTAACCTAAGCAGCAAGTCTTAAAGTTTAATTGCAATACAAATACTCAACGATGACTTTTTAGACGAATTATTTTTATAGGTCAAGAACATTTATTAGGTATTAGCGGCCGCCCGCGACTTCGTACGAGTGCAGTTAGGTAGGTTCACTGCTCGTTCCCCGTAGGTGATAGCGTGATAATATGTAGCCTATATGTTGACCCGACTTCTTAATAATATTCGTGCCAAATTTGAAGTAAATCCATGCAGTACTTTTTGAGTTTATCCCGGACGTACATACAGACAAACAGACAAAAATTCTAAAACCTATATTTTTGGCTTCGGTACCTATCTACTGTAGAACATACCCCAAGTATTCTTTTAAAAAAATATTCAATGTACAGTTTTGACTTTCCTGCCATTTTATTATATGTATAGATGTTGCTATTAAATGTTACAATATAAAAATATATAGGTATAATAAAAATTATACAATAGATCGTGTATTAAAAACAAAGTAAGATCAAATGTCTCTTTCTATATAATTTTTTGTAGGTACTGAAAACAACATGGGCTTTCAAACGGGGCCTGAAGATGCTCGAGTGAGGCAAGCAAGACTGACTTCGTATGCAGGTCATGAACAAATTAAAAAGATCGTTAACTTGAGCATATCTGGTTGCAGACCCCTCTTTCCCAGTTGGCACTTTGGGCAAGTGCCCAGAGCCCCGCGATCGATAGGGACCCCCCTCAGATCAAATACAAAGTCCCTAGTTCCTGTTAAATCACCAGACGGGGGTCATAGGGACCCCATTATCCTAATATGCCCAGGGCCCCCAATAGGTCAAAGACGGCACTGTCTGGATGAGTGATGCAATGCAGGTATATCCACAAAGTTTTGAATTCGTAACTATCCATAAAAAAATCTACACTACCAAGACAATGAAAAACAGAGCGCTTTGCATGAAACTATAAGAGAAATATTTATAGGAGGCGCAACAAATTACCCCACCCAACCTGATGTTAAGTATATGTGGAGTCAAGTCGCGGAGATAGCGATAATGATGATGCGGCAGAAAGTGTGTCGCTCCAGACATCCTCAACTAGCCAGCCTAAACCCAATCTCCTATACCGTGGAGCCCTGGAACCCTACTCATCAGCAGAAGCACGACACCACTAATAGGAAATGTATTTTTAGGATCTTCATTGTAGCGCAGAACCTTTAATGTCGTAATATTATTATGCAAATCAGCGGACGGCATTTCCTTTAGCAGAAAAGCATTTGGCATTGACTCATTTAGCAAATACTGAAACGCATAACTTTGTAAGCCAGAATCAGCGTTGTTAGACGTCCCGATTGTTAAATCAAAATTAAATGTCCCGCGCGGGACAGGCTCAATCACGCTTTTCTGTAATAACTCTACCAGTGCCGTCTTTGAACTATTGTAGGCCATGGGTATATTAGGATAATGGGGCCCCTATGACTTCCGTTTGGTGATTTAACAGGAACTAGGGACTCTGTATTTGATCCTATCGATCGCGAGGCCCTGGGCACTTGCCCAAAGTGCCCACTGGGAAAGAGGGGACTGGGACAGCGTATATTCAGATCGGTTTGGAGCAGCTGTCTGGGGAAGTAACCTCTACCTTACAGAAGAAAACAGTAAAATAACAGGTTCCTCCAAATTTATGTTTGTTATAGCTCAATCAAACCACGTTTCTCACCAAAATCATTATATTTGTAGATGTAAATAATTAAGAAAAGCTCCTTTGTGTCATCAACATATTTTTTTATCGAACAACAAAACCGAGACGGTATTAAGTAACGTTCGTGCTCAGAACCGTTAGTTAACTTTTAAGTTCTATAAATATTGATCCTGTTACTGACTTTTCGAAAACAAAAAAATTAACGCGTGGCTTAGTGGAGCAACAAGTTTTGACGTCTTCGTATAGTGTTTAAAACATTACAACAATGTTATCTCCCTATTTTCTCGTATTGTCGCAACCACCACGGGGCAAAGCTCTGCGATCTGTCAAACACGTGAAACGAAATAAACTTACTTCGTTAATGTTTAATAATTTTAAAGTACAATTTTAATGAGATATGAAAAATATCGAGATAAACATGTGAGAAAGAATTCAACACTTTAAAAAACATACTTACCTACATACTTGTTGAAAACACAGGCAACGGTAATTTTCTTTCTCAAATAACTTTCTTTATTACTTGGTTTTAAGTGGACAACGACGTCACTCGCAAATAACAGTGTCTCATACAGTGGTCATAAAAAATCGTTTTAGTAGAACACCACAAGTAGCATAATTACTTTTGTTTTGTTTTTTGTCATTTTATTTTTTTGGCAATGTGATTCTTACCTACGTGTCTTTATTTGTAATTTAATGATCCGATATCAATATTTTAACAACGGGTAAATAACCTATGCTCTTGATAGATAAAATAGCGGCATAAAGTGCATTCTGAATCATATACATTTTGCAATCAATCACGTGTAAAATCATGTCTTATTATTAGATACAAGTAATATTAAGAAAGTACAGTGACTTTAAAATGGTTGGTATCAACAGTATAACACTCGTTAAACAATTAGAATAAAAATAAAACAAAAAATGTTCGCAAACTAAGAATTCTAGCTTAATGAAATAAAATCTAATCAATAGACAATTAAATATTCCTTAAATGATGATTGAGATGATTAAAACTTCTTAATTATTGTTAAGTTATATCATAAAAAAAAACAAATTTGAAAAAGGGAGACTCGAAAAGGAACCCGGCACTTTTCATAGAAAAAATGCTAAACTTGTATACAGTTGAATTTGGTCTCAAAATAAAGCCAAAATTATTTGCTACATAAAACTACTTTTGCTTTATTTTTAGTGAATCGTGGAAAGAAGTTATTTAATGATTAATATTTTTTGATATAGGAACCCTTTTGATGACAAACCTACGTATTTGACATTGACAGCTAGCTGCTGATGACCAATATTGCCAGACTACGTTACCCAATTATGAAACACAGATAAAAAAATTAAAAAAGTATACAACTTTGGCACAAAATGCCGGGTGCCCTTTAACTACGAAATTACTGGATTTGTTTTTAATCTGTCATTTATCATTCATATAAACCATGTCGATAGTTTTACAATATTAAATATTTTAGCTATAATCATGTCGAATTAACCTGAAGAATGCACCAGAATTCTCTCAATTCTGGAAACCAGGAGGATCTGGAGTCAGCGCGATACAGCCAGGACTATCGGTGTGTCGCTGTCAACAGTACAAAGAGTAGAGAAATTGGCTCTAACCTACGCAGATTAGGAACAGGCAGAACCAGGCGTATCACAGCACGAGAAATTCGGTACTTGGTGACCACCATGCTTCGAAATCGCTTTCTCACAGGAACTGAAATTATAAATCAGTTTCGACGCCTCGGAGGAAGTAACACAAGCACATGGACAATAAGACGACGACTTGCTGAAGCTAGCTTGAAACCACTTAGAACTGCGAACGGCCCTTAACTGGAGCGTGGGTATCGCATTTCTAGACTAAGATATGCACAGAACCACTTAAATTGGGCTATTGATGATTGGTCAAAAGGGATGTTCTCCGACGAATCAAAAATTTATACTCTACAAGCACGATGGAAGACACAGTATAGCAAAAGTAGCCTACGGTGGTGGGTCTGTAATTTCTGTGGGCCGGAAGTTCTTCTGAGAATCGCACAAAACTGGTGTTCATAGAAAA